TTTTTTTTTTTTTTTTTTTTTTTTTTTTTTTTTTTTTTTTTTTTTTTTTTTTAAGTCACAAATCATCATGCCAGGAACCCAAACAGCCACAACATTAAAAGAAAGCTGTGCAGTCACACAGAGTGTTGTTCTCCTAACCGTATCTTTAGATTTTATGTAATAGCTCACCATGCACTTCTAGTCTGTCTGAAAAGTCAAACAGGTGATTCTGGACTACTGCTAACACATACGTACCATGTAATTTTCCTTTGCTAAATACTTACCACCAGAAGCTTGTAGAAATTTTGGTTTTTATTTTATTATTGAAGAAACTATAGGAAGACAGTTCCAAGTACAGCAGTACCAGAACAAACTGTATCTCCGTGTTTCTGGCCTTCAGACACCTGAAGGCATCTACCAGATTAAAAATTGTTGAACGTAACTCAAACTCCTCTGGGTCCTCGATAACTGGGAGCACACAAGCAAGTGTCTTAGCCCTACTTGTTTTAGAAGGCAAACCTCCTACCCCATAACTGATATCCTGGCACTCTACAGTCTAATCCACTTTTCCCAAAAAGTTTTCCTGGCAGGCACAGTTCTGGTCTATACAGAAGAACAACGTGGCTGTTCATAAACAAACTTGCTTTCATGGTATCTATCTGCTGTATTTCATAAAAATGAAATACCTACACATTCAAGTGGAACTTGCTATCAAGTACTGCTACATGTACAGGCTTGAACAGGAGAAAATTAAGATTTCTGCTCAGTACCTATTAGAAAATGATGATTTTGCTAAATTAGATGCCTGAATTTTGATACCACTAATCAACTGTAAAGTTATGTGAACAACCAAGGCAACCAGTCTGTCAGATGAGTTATATCATTAAGCAAAAATCTGAGGTATGCTGTACTGGAAGAGACCTTCATGCCAATCCTAATTGGCTATGTGTTAACCATGCATGTACAAACACTGTAAGGTTACCTCTAGCTACTCAAACAAACTCAGAAATGGAGAATATCTTTGCAAATTACCAGTTTACAGCCTGCAGCAATCTTTATTTCATGAATATTTCTTGCAATTCTGCTTTTTCTCTGGTGATTCCTCCCCATTAATTTCAGAAACAAGCTAGATTATATATGATATTAAGCAGCTTCTTCATGTTAAGGCTACTCTTCTTACCTCATAAACAGTCTTCAAAGGCCTCACTACACTTAAAACAAAAACATTTGAATTATCAGCTTGTTCTCACATGATTCAGATTTGCTTCCAAGTGCACAGCTTCGTACTTCCACTGTGGGCTCAGATTCTTTTCAAAGACTGTTCTGCCTATCAAGTCAACATGCAGCTTCGTTAAGCGGAAATGCTCCTTGCACAATTGCAATTTCTGTAAGCAGAGTTAAGAATACAAAATGGGAAACAACTGCAGGTGGAGCCTGGCCTTCTCTGGCCATTCCGACTTACAGTTGCCTCTTGTACAGTTCATTACAAAGTTTACAACAAAGCCATGCTCCATGCTCTCCAGCTAGTGCCTACATGTATCTAACTCACGGCTCCAGCAGCTGACCTTAATAAAAGAAAGAAAAAAAGGCAAGGTATTTAAAAAGAGTTACTTCTCAAGCTAAGCAGCCACAAACTGTATGGTACGTCAAAGCTTACTACGTTTAGTAAGCTCTGCATATTCTTTCCGTATGAGAAAAAATCAGGGTGTTTAATTTAAAAAGAAAAATCACCTCTTCAGAATAACATCTCTGCCACCACTTTGGCTGAGGACGCATCCATATGTTCTCGTGCTGCAGAAAAGCATTTATGTGCAAGTTCTTGTTGTTTCACATCTTCATTCACCATTAATTCACCATAGAGATACACACCCATTGCCTGAAAGAGGAACATAACACACAGGCATCCTATCACCAGTAATGACTAGTTAGCTGGTTTTCATTCCATTGACCTCCTAGTACTCATTTAATTAAAAACAAAGAAAAACAAAACAGACAACCCAAAACAGAGAAAATACCATATCCTCTATAAAACCTGCCCTTCCCCCCCCCCCCACAATATTTTCTTCTGGATCTCTTTAGCCTAAGGATGGTTGTCTATATGTTGTATTGAATGTGTAAGAACAGAATATTAATATGAGGTGTACGTTGTATCAGTTATAATGCTTTCTCACTCCATTGTTCTTGCCACTTTTCAAGTTGAAATCTGTTTTCTTTTATCCACTACCTGAAATATTTCCACATGCCCCTTAAGAAAACAGGTTGTCCTTCCTTCAACAGGATACACATTTTCTTTCCAGTTGGGATGTTTACACACACGCACACACGCGAATAAAGAGGACATCCACTGGAACAGTCCACTCTAAAATTCCCATTTGGCAATTCTGTAAGCGGACATCAACTGAATGCTGTTAGGTCTGTGTTTCAGACTCTTCTCTTTACATCTGAGATACAGCTGAACATGCACAAATTCTGGTTTGGTAAGAAGGCAGGCTTTTCCTAACTACTCATTCTGGACATAGCAGCTATCAAGAAAGATCTGGGCCCATTCAACGGCAGGTAGCAAAGCACTATCTAACTTAACAGAAAACACACTGGGGAACGCCATTTTTTTCTGATTATACCATTTTTTCACTTAATTACAGGAATTCAGTAAGTGTTAAGCTACCCTTAACAAAATAGGATTATACGCGCAACAAAATATTAGCAGCTTAGCACACTGACTTTTACAGTTGTACTTAATGTTTAGACAGTTGCAGGAGAGGAAAAATTTGGACAGCATTGAAAAAACACAATTTTTAATACCATTGCTCACAATTTCTAGCATTGGCTGGTAAGCCTTAAAAAAATTAGCTTCAACAAGAAGGGAAATTTAAAGTTTAACAAAGAATGAAATTAAAGGAAAAAGTCGCAGAGTGGCAGAAACCTGCTAGGCTCCTCGCCAATCCCCTAAGCGTGCTCTCTTACATCCAGAGACCCAAAAACTCAGCTTTCCAGGCTCTGCAGCTGCACCAGGGTGTGGGGGGGGGCCAGCCACACCAGGCACGCACACGGCCTTGGAGCTGGGCTCCAGTCACTTTCATAGAGAATTTCAAAATGTTGGAGTTTTGTTACAAATAGGAATTACCTTCTCTACCCACTGTTAATAATTTTCCCCCGAGCCTAAACATTAACATGCAGTAAACACACTGGGTTTTTGTAGTCCTGAAAAGGATTTAAATAGTCACATTTGCATTTTTCCCAGACTTTAAAAAAAGCCAAGTCTTTCATGATCATGCAACTGCTTTGATTTGAGTTGTAATCACTCCAGAAGCTGCTGGTGCCATAAACTGTATGCACTGCTGGAGTAAATGAAATTAAAGATATTGAAGATTACATTAAAAAATCATTGCAAAAATTATTTCCCTGCACTGCAGAAAATGTTAGTCTTTATTTGGCATAGTACCTGTTCCAAACATAATGCAATTCAACATGTTTGGTTTTATGAACTCAAGGATTTCCCGCCCCCACCCCAGACTTCTGCGGGTGGTTATCTCCACCCTTTCATAGGATTAAAATATGCACAATATATATAACTCCTTACTTTCATAAATAATGTTGGTTTCTGCCTTTTAAAAAAAAAAAATAAAAAATAAAGGGCTTGCCAGAAAGTCTGGGGCCTGTTTATTGGCTGAGATATAAATAGGAGGTATACTTCAGATCTGGAAGAAAGAGCACGAGCAACTGCAGTACCTTTATTGTGCTGGTGACACAAAATGTATTTGCCTGAAAGCACAAAAACCTCACTGGCTGTAAATGGCTTTGTTCGTTGTCAATATAAAAGGTAAAGACACTAATATCTTGCCTAGACTTTGACACATCTTGCAACATCTTCTGGTTTTTACATACATTTTAAATATGTAACAGTCATCCTAGGCAGTGAATGTCTTGATTTTGTAGAGTTCATAGTGAATAAAAAGAAATAAAAGCAAACTAGAAAGAACAAGGCAGCGGTACAATTAGAATTGTAAGTTCATAATGGCCTAAATAAAAAGCCATAGAAAAGACATCATGCATGGCCAGCCTTTTAAGACCTTCAAAATCTTCTGGTATAATTTCCCTAACAGTGGAGAGGCCAGCATTCTCTGGATGTATATCGTTGTGCTATGCTTCTCCTTCTGGATGTTGTCTTGAAAACTGAAGTCGCCACAGCACTGACTGCTTTGCACCTAGCTCATATCTACATGCATTAACATTCACAGCTAGACTTGCCTTTGTCTTCCTGCAAAAGGAACCAATGCTGAGAAGTATCTTCCTAGCATCACTGCTACCTCTGGCTTGCATAAAATGGAAGGAGAGGATGGAATATATCCTATTTCACCACTTAGCAGAAGATTAGCATGCTTAGGTGGGGTTGAATACCCCTAGCTGGCTTTAAACTACAATGTTTAAGGGACAAAAGAGGCAAAAACTGAACACACACTGAATTTTTTGACAAACTACAGCAAGAAAATATATTAAAATAATTTTTTAGTTTCACACTAAGGGTGTCAAAAAGTTGATTATTTTGAAAATGCTAAGTAAATGTAACTGACCTGATCTTCTCTGAGGAACTTCTCAACATCTCCATACCCAGGCACGTACTTGTGTTTAACAACAAGTTCACACCACCGATGACGAACCTTTGGGAAGAGAAAAAATATTAGGGGGGGAGGGGAAGTGGGGAAAAAAGAAAAAAGAAACTTTATTGTATCTGTGTGAGTGTTGATAAACAATACATCTCTAACCAGCTTGGTTTTGTCATTGCTGTTGGGTTTGGGTGTTTTGGTGGGTTGTTTTTTTTCCCCAGCAGCCAGGCAGATGCCTCTCGACGCTGGCTGGTAAGCCAGGCAGAGGTGCAGCGCTCCGCACATGTGAGCCCGGGCTTCGGAAAGCCTGAACACCCAAAGACAAACTCCTGGTTCCAAGTTAGTAAACTAACCCAGATCCAGGCACAGATCTGCAGCATTTTCACGTCCACTGTTTCCAGTCTTGACCTTTTTTCCTTGAACTTAGGCTAGAAGTTATTTCTTTTATACTGTTGGAAGGGAGGAGTGGGAGGAGATTAGCACTGCAAACATCTGGAAAAGCCACAAGATATAATTGATAATTTCCCCCATGTAAGTGTATAATCCAAGTGATAAAAAGGCTTAAATAGAATTCTGTACCAAAATTAAATCATGCCAAAAGGATACGAGTTAGATATAAAGCCATGAAACAGGAAACACAGTTTTGCCACCGTATCTTTGCCGGTAATAGATTTTAATCCCTTGAAAAGTGTTTAAAATCTGTCTACACTTAAAAAGCCAGGCTGTTCTACCAAACACTTATCGACAAAAACAGTTATTAACATACTGTAAGGAAAAGTATGGAAATTTTCAAGCAAACCACAATTGGAAAATATTTTTATTTAAGTAGCGTGAATATGAATTACATGTGGGGGTTTTTTTTGCTGTTGTCTAAATTTCTGACTTTGTTCTTAGCCACTCTTGTGGCATAAGCATCATCTTACTCTCCAGCAAGGCTCCCTCAGTTGTAGGTAGTGATCAGCCTTACATTTTATATTCCATTAGTGGCTCAGCACTGATCCTAAAGGAAAACAGTTAAGTGCAGTAAAACCCTCCCACCCTCCCAATCCTTCTGTTTTAGCCTTTGTTCTTACCGTCTTTCAAAAAGACAGGGCACCTAGTAACAATCACCTTTCACAGTAAGAGTAAAATGTGAGCAGTTCTGGTATTTTTCAAAACGGAGTCCAAATTGTCCTCATATCAAGTAACTGAACATGAACCTTTTTCTGAATGATAGATTTACTGATAACATTGAGAATGGATGCCAGAAAGGGAAGAAAAAAATTCACACTTAAGTATATCATTGCTTTTGGAAATAAGGTATTTGAACATACTTTCCTAGTCGTCCTAGTCCCTGCCAACTTTACATCTCAGGAAAAAATTTCACAGACATATGTAAGTAGATGTTAATCCCGTTAGCATAAGAAACAAGTGATACATGCTCACAGGTCCTGGAACAGTCCTTTTTGCGTACCTGGTATCTCTTTCCAGCTGACCTCTTATATGAAATAATTTGAACACAGCTTATGAATGAAATAAAATGCTGAAGGGTTTTGTGGCTGTGTGGAGTTTGCACTCACTGCATGTACGGTACTGAACAGTTACATTGCAATGCATGGAAGGGAATGAAAGCTGTCTCTTAAAGCGTTTTGCTGACAAAATAACAGCTGTTAAGATTCCTACAAGTGGAACCAGAGCTAAATCTACAAAAGTAAATAGCTTTCCAAGATTCAATTCACTTTGCTTTAGATGCCCATATCCATAATGTAGACCTTCAAAACCCTACCCAGCTGCTGCTTCTCCCTGGAGATACTAAACATTTCACCAGTAAATCTTCCCAGGCAATCCAGCTTTGTTACAGAGTGTTTCTCATAGCACCAAGCAGCTCCATGTCTGGACCAAACCTTCAAGGCCCCAAAATTAAGCATACACCTCTCTCATCTGTAGGCTGAGTTAACCAAACAGAATATAAACACATTTAAAAGGTTGTAGATCTTCATCTGACACACTTTATTCTCACCTTCTGTCATATATTAAAAAAAAAAAAAAAGTAAATTGTTATGTATTCTCATGGTATGTATGAGAAACATAAGGAGCAGAAAGGGACTGTGGTCCTCTCCTGTGATCGCTGCTCTTCTACATCTCATGGTCCGGCAGTTACAGCACTTACCCAGGAGGTAAGCAATGAAGTCCCGTTTCTGCATCTGCTCAAGGTCTCAAACTATGCCTGCAGTGAGACTATTTCAACAGCAGATTATAAAGTATTCTGGGACGGGGCTCTCTTCACATCTCCTGGTGAAGCTGGTTTTTTCCCCTGCAGTTACTAAAATATTTATTGTTCCTAGGGGAGGAGGTCGTAAGACTTTAGGGTCTAAATTTCTGAGTACTTTTAATAAGACGGAGGGACCTGGCTCGTGCAGCACACGAGCCAGCTCGTCCCCAACACGCCTTTCCTGGTGCGACCATAATAGCAGCATGGAGAGCAGAAGTCCTCCCTGTGAAGGCATTCATGGGGTCCTACTTCTTCACACGCTAATGTTGTGTATGTCTGCCTTACACGGCCTGATCATCCGAATCCCAGCGGCTTTGGAAATCACGGAACGATTAAGTTGTGCCCGTTTCCTTAAGTGTTCCTTCCTCCATAGGGCTCCTGCTCTTGGCAGCCAACCTCCTTTCAAATAGTTTAAAAGAAAAATATTTATTTGTTGAGTGAGATCTGGGACAGCACACACTTTTCTTTCTCTCTTTCGCTTTTTCCCCCTTTCTTTCCCAGGGTGAGTACAAATCCTGGCACATTTCCAGATCTGAAATGCTGGCGCTTTGCCAGTTGGGGCAGGCGCAGCATGTCTGTTATCCTCAGATTACACGTTTGCCTCCTGTTTTCCAAAAAGCCCCACATGCTCTCGTGGCAAAGCAAACTGCAGAACCATTCACTGCTGAAGTGCCTGTGAAACCATCAGGGCGGGCGGCCCCGCTGGCTCTCCCGTGTCTCATACGGGACCCCAGTAAACTGAGCACAGAAACCAAGGCTGGCTCCGAGGGCAAGAGGGGCAGGGGGTGACCTGCACAACGCTGGCACCGAAACCTTCGCTACCACTTGGACTGAACGTGTGTATTGGTTACTCTTCTGCCCCCCGCACCCTCCACGCAGCGCGGCGTGTAGACAGCCATGCGACATGAACTGCAGCTAAAGCAAACGCAGTTGTTTTGCAGATACACGCACTATAAAGAAATATTTTTTCTAGTATAATCCACGCCCTAGGCTGATACCACAAACATGAGAATTTTATTCA